CGCGCAGCTCTACGGCCGCCTGTACTCGGAGAGCTCGCGCTGCGTCCTGCTCGGACGACTGTGGCGCAGGCTGCGCGGCCGCCCGGGCCATGCTTCTGCCTTGATGGCGGCCGTCTCCGGTGTCTTCGTGTGGGAAGAGGAGAGAATCCAGGAGGAGGAGCTGCAGAGGTGGGTCCTGCGGCGGCTGCGGCGGGAGTGGGGGCTCGGGGACCTTGGGGCCCGCCCTGTGGTCTTTCGATGTCCCGTTTACGCGGTGGTCTTTAGGTGGCGATGCATTGGACGGGTACCATTTTAATGATCCGCGGTATTGCTTCTCTGTGTTCATTGCTTTTATCGGGTTGGAAATAAGAACTTCCAAGTGTGGTTAATTCAGGAGGGAGACTGAACGGGTAGCAAGCATGTTGCTAAAAAAAATTTGGAAAAAATAAACTAGGAGTGAAAGGTATGGAGTCGGACTCACGTTATCTTTTACACACCCAGAAAAATGCACATTCAAAACGGATTTTAAACTCGACCTGAAGGTGTTGTTCTGCCGTTTGCAAAATGACTGCCATCCAGATGGGACCTGGGTGTTGTGAGAAATGCCCAGAGAGCTCCCTGTCATTGTGACTTGGTGTCTTAGCAGAATTAGACTGGAAGGGATTTTGCCCTACTTGCACAAACCAATAGTCTCGGCATTCTTGACCTGTAAAATTAGGTCAGATTTTTTGCTGTTTTAGAACTTTAGGAATACTGTGTTATTAGGTGAAGTCACTCATTAAAACTTCTGTGGGAAAACCCCCGTACTCTCTGGTTGATTGGATCTGTTAATCTGTAGTTGAATCTGAGATTTAATAGGTTTTAGGCAATCTGATAGAGAAACTTTGCTTTAGGATTTGAATTACACGGTTTCTACTTTTTGTAATTACTAGTAGTATTTTTACAGTACTGGGGATTGAATCCACAGCCTTGCATATGCCAGGCAAGTGTGGTATCTCCGAGGTATATATTCAGCCCTTTTAGTTTTTCTGTTTTGAGATAGGGTCTCACTAAGTTACCCAGGCAGGCCTCAATCTTACTATCCACCTGCTTCAGCCTACCAAGTAACTGACTTTACAGGTGTGCACCATAGGACCCTGCTCTATTTTTTTTTAAGCAGATGTTATTAAGATGCAGCCCCCCAGCCCTCTTCCCCTAAACGCTAAAAACTGATTACAGACAAAGCCTCTTCTTCAATAGTTCTCACAGAGTCTTATTTACAATTCTCCAATAGGGAGAC